ACTAGGCAGGCGAAGTGACTCCTGCAAGGCTCACAAATCAGCGGCCCAGTTCTTGGTAGCAGAACCACTCCCTGAGTCTCAGAAAGACATTTGCCGCACGTCTTGTCGCAAGGATACGCAGAAGACAATGGGATGGGATCATCGATTCCATACCCAAGAAGCAGTGGTTCGTTTCGATGATCGACAAGAGGATAGGAGCATCCAGCTTCGGATCTGGAAGATCTCGTCCCACCCGACATAGTCATTCGCCGCATAAACCAACCAAAGAATCGAAGAAGAAATGGATCTTACCAAAAGGAAGAGGAAAAGAAATTCGCGGAATCAACACGACGAAGAAAGTGGCTCGCGAAAGAGGATAATCGACAACACATAAGAGGAAGGGGCCAAAAGAAAACTCGTAGTCCTAGCAAAAAAGGCTGACTTTTTGTGGGAATCGAGGTGGCCCGCTAAAGAAAGATAAGAAAATCCAAGGACCAATATGCAAAAAATCTTTCCCCTTCATAAAAGTAGACGTTCGATGTACGAGACCTCAACCGCAGACCTGGACCCACCTATGGGGTATCGGTTGGGGTGGAGCCCAGAACCCAGCAATTCAGGGTCTTGGTCCAAGAAACCAGATTGCAGATCCTCTAGGAAACTTCCTCCGGGAACAGTCTTTCCAAGATAGCCTCTAGGGACACCTCCTCCGTGGAACTTTCTCCAGGAATAGTCTTTCCAAGACAGCCTCCAGGGACGCGCTCCCCGGGGAACTTCCTCCGGCAATAGTCTTTCTGAGACAGCCTCCTAGGACACGCCCTGCAGGGAATTTCCTCCAGGAAAAGTCTTTCCGAGACAGACTGAAGGGGCACGCCCACCGGAGAACTTCCTTTGGGAACAGTCTTTTCGAGACAGCCTCCAGGGGCATGCCCTCCGGAGAACTTTCTCCGGGAATAGTCTTTCCGAGACAGCCTCCAGGGGCACGCCCTCCGGGAATAGTCTTTCCGTGACAGCCTCCAGGGGCACGTTCTCCGAGGAACTTCCTTTGGGAACAGTCTTTCCGAGACATCCTTTACGGGCACGTGCTCCAGAGAACTTCCTTTCCGAGATAGCCTCCAGGAGCACGCCCTCCAGGGAACTTCATTCGGGAAAAATCTTTCTGAGACAGCCTCTAGGGGCACGCCCTCCGGGAAACTTTCTTTGGGAATAGTCTTTCCGAGACAGCCTCCAGGAGCACACCCTTTAGTGTACTTCCTCCGGGAATAGTCTTTCCAAGACAGCCTCCAGGAATAGTCTTTCCAAGACAGCCTCCAGGGGCACGCCCTCCAGGAAACTTCATCCGGGAATAGTCTTTCCAAGACAGCCTCCAAGGGCACGCCCTCCGGGGAACTTCCTCCGGAATAGTCTTTCCGAGAAAGCTTACCGTGGCACGCCCTCCTGGTAACTTCCTCCAGGAATTACTTTCCAGAGATAACCTCTCAGGAAGATCTGGAAATAGAGTCTTACAAAACGACTACACCACCGTAACAAGATTTTCTCTATGGCAAAGATGATGTTTGACCCTGCCCCTCGCGGCCTTTCACCCTTCAAAGATTTCATGTGCATGATAGACTTTCCAATCTCCTGAAGGAGCTTTGCTAGTCAGGGGCAACTGCTGGGCTGCAAAATGTCATTACGGCCCACGAGGCCCAACGCGTGGGCAACGGACGCAGCGGTAACCCGAGGAGCATTAAATGCTCTGCGCCTACCATAGAAGACCGCAATGATGGCAGTTAGGGAGAGGCGGAGCAGTTCGGCAACCTCCACTCTGACTGCACGCATGGAAGAGTTCGGACACATCGAATATGATGACAAAGGACGGTTGTAGGAACCCGACCCGAGGAACTAAATGATTCTGACCCGGGTCTGACCTGAATCCAGGTATTCACTATAAAACCCACTTCTCGTGCCACCGAGGGGAGGAGAACTTCTAGAGCGATAATTTGATCTTCTTGCTTCATTTCACCAGATAACTAAAGTACTTAAAAGCTCTATCAATATCTGTCTGAGTTGATAGAGCGCTCTGTTTCTTAGTTCTTCTGATATCTCTATATACTCCGTCTAAGAAATCTATATAAAAACATTTAACTAACAAAAATAAAAAATGAAATTATGTCTTCAAAATACCAATATTTTCAAAACAATTGTGTGTTAAAAAAAAATCAATATCAAGAGAGGTAAATTACCTAAGAAAAAAGTCGTATAGAGTAAAATTAGCTTGATATTTACGCTAACTACCAAAAAAAAATATTAACTAAAAAAAGCAAATGATGGTATAAGCTTTTGAGAAAAGTTTATATAAAAAATTAGAATAATCAGTTATAGCATATCAAAATAGCATTTTAATTAATTTAAAAGTAAATTTAACAAAGAAAAAACATATATGTAAAAGATATTAAATTAATATATATTTAAAATAAAATAAGAAAATTAGATAATTTAGTTACCTATTTTAAGTATTTGGAAATTTAGATAATTAGATAAAATAAGCATTTTCTTACCTATTTGGAAATAAATAAGAAAAGAGATTAATTAAAAAATATATGTTTTAAGTATATAAAACATGCAAAAATTAGATAATTAAAATAAAATATAAAATTACCATCAAAGATATTTTAAATAACAAAAAATAAGATCTAAGAAGAAAATTAGTTTGAAATTTAGTTACAGAGAATTCATGATTTCTAAAATATTGGTGTTGACAATGAATAACCATATAAAGTTATAGTAGGTTATACAAGTTTCTAAATTAAACATATTATTTAATTTTACAAAGATTAATACCTTGGGTGCACCTGGTTTAGAAACTAACAAAGAAAAATACTACATACGGAACGTATCATTCAAAATATAATAAGTAATAAAGTCTGATTTGTATACATAGTTACTGCTTATAACTTAGCCAACATGAACAACACATGTACAATATCTTCTAAAATTTTATTTAAATAATAAAATATGACAAAGTTATGAATCAAATTCAAATGGAATTATATGTAGATAAACTATTCAAATCAAAACATGAATAAAACACACAAAAGGTATATATAAAAAAACAGTGATAATGTGAAGTCTTTACACTATCTTACATGTTTAAAAACAAAAATTAGCAAATAGTTGACTGCAAATAAAAAATTTTATAAACTGAATAGAGATATAACCTAAAATTCGTAGAAGATCTGGTGGAGAAGCAAAAAACAGCTTTACACGATTAGTGTAGTTTACTAACAAAAGTAAATATGAATCAACATATGTCGTATATCATATATGTATGGGTACACAAACATGAGTGAGACATTAAGTAAAAAACTAAATATTTAAACATATAAACCTTTTAAAAAAAGAAATACAGAAATCCTAAGGATACAAAACAAAACACCAAAAATTTAGTAAGGAAATTATTTTATAAATCAAATGTATACACATCGAAGTTGGATAATTCATTAGATGTCATTACTTTGATTTTACATAATAAGATTTATAATTTTATAAAACAAAAAAGAAAAAAATACATATTATGTTTTAATTTTTTTATATAAACGATTTTGTTTTTATAAATATATTATAGTTTTGATAATATAAAAGATATTAGCCAAAATAATCAAACCAAATTATTAATACTGACTTGCGCGTAGCGTGAGTTAAAAGCGTAGTATATATATATAGTTAACTATAGATGATGATGTGTACTAACAGAATTGAATCTTTTAAATCTTATATGAATACCTTTAGCGGCGTATAACATCAATTTTTATTATTAAAAGATATATTTGTTTTTAAGTTTTTGATATATTATTAACAGCACAATAGAAATAAGAACATATGTTTGTATTGACATAACAATTGTATTAAAAGTAACATTAATATATAGTTTAATTCCCTAAAATTCATTACATAAGTTATATAGGTTTCTTCAATACTCATCTTTCTCATTCTTTTTTCTTTTCCACATACTCCTCTCCGTTTCTTATTGACTTGAATGGTGATACAATTCAAAAAATGTAGATCAATTTGATTATATATATTAAGCATAACAAATACATATCAAAACTATATATATTATAAATATCCATCAAATAAATAATAATATTGTATCAATAATATAGATCTGTAAGTATTCATGTTCTGTGTTTTCTATAAAGGGCTTTCCTTTTAAATGTAGATCATAAAATTAAAGCTTTAAATGGGAAAGAAAAATCAACGCATCAAAACTCGTAATGCAAAACAATCTGTATTTTTGCACTATTCACACACAATTAATAATTAATAATTAAAATCTAAAATCTAATTTATATTTTTTATGCTTGATCTGCATAATCTGGTTGGTCTGTATTATTTACTATGTGTTACCATTTAAAACCATTACTTGCAAACTGCAATAGGGAAATAGTTTAGTTTTTGCTTTCGTTAAAAATTAGGGTTCTGCTATCTCGTGACTCGTGAAGATCTAAAGATGTCACAAACCGTCAAAACTTGCGGAAGAGATGACGATAGAGTTTGTGAAGACATGATTAGTGAGTTATCCGAAGATTTACTTTTGAGGATATTTTCGTTTGTTCCAATAAAAGACGCAGTAGCCACCATGTTTTTGTCGAAACGATGGCTCTCAATCTGGACAATGTTAGGTAAACTCAAGTACAAAGACAGCAACTTCGATGATGATAATGATGATGATGGTGAAGAAGTTGGGGAATGAGGATGATGATGGTGCTGGTGCTGATTGTGAGGATGACGATGATGGTGATGGTCATGAAGAAAACAAAAAGAGCGTTTGGTGGTTTCTTGACAAAGCAATGCAATTGCACAAGGCACCTAGAATACACGGTGCCCTACTGATGCTGGCACTACTGATTCTGATGTCGTAAAGTGGGTTACAAACGCTGTTAATCACGGCGTGGAGGATCTTCAAGCTTTGTTGGCCCGTAGATCTGGTCAGCTTGCCTAAGAGCCTTTACTTGTGCAAATCTCTCGTGGTAATTAATCTTTCACAAGATTTTCAAGGATGCTCTTTCTCCGGCTTCCTTTCCAACCCTGAAAAGTCTTCACCTTTGCTATAAAGACGATGACTCTGTAGTTAGATTCTTATCTAGCTGTCCCAATATATCATTATTAACTCAGAAAATATATAGAGAGAACTTAAAACATCTATTTATTTGAAAGGAAAAAAATCCTAGAAAATACCTTTTTAAACTATAGATGCAATATTTTATTAAGCTAAATAATTATACCCGAAAAAACAATTTAGAGATTCCAAATAGTTTTACTTACTTGATTTCCTTCCCATAACTTCTCAAACTTGGATTTAACTTAGAAGGCAAACATGTCATTGGAAAAAGAGTCAAATTTAGTGATCGAAGTTTTCGAGGCATATAGGTCAGACCTTGAGGTAAGCACAGTCTGTCTCGGTTACCAAAATCTCTGAATCTGATATAATGGAGACTAGACATTCGTTCAAAGCCTTTCTCACTTATATTTAATACGTCCTTATTCTGAAATAAGTTGAGATCTATTCCTATAACACTTCTACCACTGTGAAAATATGTTTAAGAAGGTTAGTTATCAAATAATTAAACTCAGTTTGTATGGAGAGTGATGCAAATGAAAGACTAAAACTTACTGGATTATCGTAGGCGAGTACTTCAAAAATATCTCTAGCATCAACCAAAAATTGGCCTTGCCAAGTCTCTCGGACAAATTCTTTACGAACAATATCTCTACCAAGTTGTACTAGTAAATCATGCATTTCCACATATCCCAAGATGATAGATATAAGAGACTTCTCAGCTAAGACGTGAAACCTTTATGCCAGATCCCAGAACGTCTCCCCAATATAATCTTCCAGTGTCTATTTTTTCACGGTTGAAAAAACATGCTATATGAAGAAACGAATCTCTATATTCATCACATAATGCATCATAGCTGAACTTCAAAATGCTCTCAATATTTCCATTAAGGCGAGTCCTTAATCTTGGTATTGCCTTTTTTCCACTCATGCTTGGACATTTCTTGGAAATAGGAGCCCATGACCCTTAATCCCAAAGGGAGCTCACGGACAAGTCTCGTAACTTCCCTCCTAAGCTTGTCAAACCGTCTTGTGGGGATTGTTGATTAAAAGCATACATGCAGAAGATTTGTAGAGCTTCATCGGTTTCTGGAAGGTCCACCTTGTAAACATGGTCGATCCTATGTGGCTTCAAAAGTTTCAGATCTTGTGTTGTGATGAGAATCCGGCTTCTACGACCAAACCACCGAGTTTCTTTTGCCAAGGCATCTAGTTGTACTAACTGATCCACGTCATCAAGAAAGACAGGCACTTTCTTGTTATTCAATCTTTCTTATACAACACGTAAGTGAGGAATCTCTATATCTTCATGGTTGATTATTTTTGACATAAACTGTTGTCGTAGTTTCAACTTCGCACTGTAGTATCTGAACAAGCTGGTCTTGTATAAATTGCTTTGATATTCTCCATAAAGACGCTTAGCTTAAAACTGGTGGAGAGTTTGTTATACAGAAATCTGGCTATGGTGGTTTTACCAATCCCGGAGGACCCCAAATCCATATCATCCTCACTTCATTTGAGTCTAAGCACAGCAACATTTCTGTATTTTCAAAATGACCTCTCATAAAAACTTAGCCGTCAAAATCCCTTAATGATGTTGAATTATTCAACTTATTCGAAATATCAATTAAGATTTTTTCGATGATGGCCGCTTCATTATTCCTATCAAAGGTAAGATCAAAGAGAATTTGTCAATTAAATACTATATAGTCATTTTAGGAATTAATATACATGCATTTTTTGCTGGATATTATTTAAAAGGCAATTCTCAAAAATACCATTAAAAAAGTTTTTGTTTCAAAAATATCTTCACTAGTATTTGTTTTCAAAATTACCATAATTTTTTATTTCTTTTTCTAAAATTAAATTCAATAAAAAAAAAGAACTAATCAGTTGTTTAAATGCTCTCCAGCTATTGTGGCAACTTCTGCCAAAGCCTCTCTCCATCTTTTAATGCCGTTTTTTTGTTTTACCCACGCGAGTTTTTCTGAAGACTTTCCCAAAATATCTGGTTTCCTTAGTTGGATTTACTTGGTAGAAAATAGCCATCACTATTTGGTCCAATTCTTTTCTGCACCTCATGATCTCAGCCAATTCATCCAGGAACCAGGACGAAGAAGCGTAGTCTTTGGAGAGCAAGACAATCGCAATCTTGGATACTCTGATTGCTTCTTTGAGTTCTTGATCGATTGACTTGCTCCTCTCGATATTATTATCAATGAATATGTCGACCTCCTTTCTTCTGAACTCTTTCAAAATGTGACTGAGAAAGGCCTTGCACACATCTGCCCCGTGGAAACATGGGAAGACATCGTGCTTCCGGGTGCAAGAAAATGAAGGTTCCGGAGTTGAAGGAGAAGAAATTATTTTGCTTTCTTTGTCTCTGAATTTTCCATAAACCAGATAGATCAATATTGTACACAAAAGCATGAAGTTTATAGTAGCAACAGTTCCAAGGTAAAGGTAAAATTCCATTATTGTGGAAGAGAGAAGATTTAAGATCACAAAACCTTTTAAGAAATATAGTGTAAAGATTAACCGTTGCATTGACTGAGAGAAATATGTGAACCACAACCGTTGCTGTCATGTTGGTTCCACCATTATTTCAACATCAGTTTCTGAATTTTTCTTCTAGTTTGAATTTTTAATAACACTTGATTCCAAAGGTCTTCCGTTTTTATTTTTACTCACTCTCCATATCACATACATCAGCTGAATTTTTTGTCAAGAACTAATGTAAATACTCTTAATATGTCATTAAATTCATGTTATGTTAGGTAAATGGCTCTAACTGGGTTGTGTAGTCATCTCGATTTCGATTGGAACAACTTTGTGAAACTTTGTCCTCGAGTCATTTGTTTCTTTTTGTTTTGAGAATGCTGTTTTGTTATCTGTAAAAAAAGCCTCGCCTCTATACTGTTTATGTATTAGTTTTACTTCTTCTCTGAGTCTGATCATACAGGCAGAATCCGTAACTCAACTTAAAAGCTACCGCTTTTAAAGTGGACGAGATACATATAGAACACACCAAACAAGTCACTAAATTAAAGTTGCCAACTTTGAGAAATGCAACTTGACAACAGAGTCAAACAAAAGCAGCACATAAAACCAAAACAAATTAAGAACTGAAGGGATACATTCACACACACATATATGAAATAGCTTTTATCTTCCAAACTTTCTTAAGTTTGGAAACTCAGTAGCAACATTGGGCAGATTTGGGCAGTTCTCGATAACAAATTTTCTCCAGTTTGGAAGATCCAGAGGATTCGAGAAAAAATTCTTTAATTCATTTAAACCACCTAGGCTAAGGGATTCAAGGTTCCCGAAGGGAGCAACAATGAAAGGAGCAACAATATTGGGATGCACATTGCTAATACTAATTCCTTTCTCTCTACTGATTATTTCTAATATCCTTGGTGAATTCCTCACAGTTAGGTACCTGATATTTTGAGCGAAAAACAGCCAGGACAAGTCCTTTGAACCTTTCAAACCAAATATTCCAACTGAGGAGAGATGCTTGAGAACTCGTACATTGAAGCTCTTCTCTTTCTTCTCTTTCAAAACTCTCATTATCATTGAGACTGCAGTTCACAAAATCAAGGAACTGAAGACCACCCATAGCTGCCGTGCTTAACCATACAATCGTTTCTGACATATTCCGTAGACATAGACCTGGAATACTACTTGCCAACCACTCTATGTTTTGGATACTTTCCAGAATCAAAGCATCTGCTATGTTTGCTGTTAAAATCTTAAAGTGCTCGAAGAGTTGAAGCCCTTTCATTAATGTTGCATTAATACAAAGATATAAACCATATAGTTTCAACACTTAAAAAGACTTGATAAACTTATTACTATCTCTTCAATGCTTTCAAGTAAGGCTCTGTTTGTTTCTTAATCTAGAATAGTTCATCTAGATTTAATATCTAGATATATCATTTAGATATTATTCATTTATAAAGCTAAGTTTTGCATTTAGATGAAACTTATTCGTTTGTTAATTCATAAAAAATTCTGAATACAAAATATTTCTAATAACTAAAAAGGTATATTTTTCAATTTAATTATATTTTATTTATAGTCAAAATATTTTTTTTAGATTATATAAATTCACAGTTTTTTGTGAAAATAAAGTTTGATAAAAAAATTAACTTGACAGAAAGTACAATTTTAACAAACAAACTCAATTTTGCCACTTTAAAGGAAAATGATGTTTTGTGATTTAAACGCAATTTTACAGTTTTTATGGGAAATATGAATTTAGTTACTTTCCTGTCTTATTATGGGGTATTTTTATTTTAGACATGCAAATGCTGCATCTAAATTCTACTATTTTTATTATCTAAAATATTCAGATGCTAATTTAATATTTTTGATTTTGCATCTAAATGTAATATCCAGATGTTAATTTAAATATGTTCAAACAAACAATATTTAAGCATATGTGTGACATCCTGGCCCAAGCCCATGAAGAGTTTTACAGACAAATGCTCATTGGCCAAGGCCCAATCGGGTTTAACCTAGGTATCCTCCCCATTCCTGTATAAATAAAGAGGCTTCCCTTCAGAATTTACAGCAAGAAATTCTCCGGCGAAGCTCTACCCAATCTCGCCGGAATCTCTCGCCGGAGCAACCGCCAGAGCCACCGCCGCCATCGCCGGATTTGTTCTCAGAGCCGCCACTGCCATCGCCGGTTGCCGGAGCCGCCATCCGCCGCCACCGAAAAAATCGCCGGAGTCACTAGAACGTGCCCATTCGTGTCTTCTTCTCGAATCTGTTGCTGTTTCTCGCATTAGACTTCATGGTGAGTAGATTTGAGCCTTTTTCAGATCTAGATCTACTTTTTTAGATCTAAATCTATTTTTTCAGATCTAGATCTATTTTTTCCATATCTGGATCTGTCTTCTAGTTATAGAATAATTTGGTGAATATTAGAAATAAATGATGTTTTTTTGTACCTTCTTGTCCTTTTAAATTCTTTCGTAATTATATACCTTATATAAATTTAATTTCGATTATACCCTTTAATTTATTAATTTTATTTTTAATATAATTACCTAAAAACTTTAATACATCATTTAACCAAAAAACCCTAAAATCATCACTTATTATTTCTTTTAAATCCAAAATAAATAATATATGTTTGTCTTGATAAATAATATTTTTTTATTCATTGTTACCATATCTGTATGGGATGACCCATGGATTTCGTACTCATACCCGAGATTAGCAACCTGCAAGGGGTATAATCTTTACCCTGAGCTAACAGTCAATCAATTGATTAATCAATCCACTTCAACATGGAATGTACCCTTACTCAAACGGTTAATTGTACTAGTGGATGTATCCCTTATAACTGGAATGCCAATTGCTAGGCATAGGAGACAGGATAGTATGGGTGGAATCTTACAAAAACTAGTCGATACATAGTATAATCTGGATATGTTTTGGAACACAACACTCATTATTTGCACGCTAAACCACAAGTTTATGGGCCCAATGTAAGTGGGTTACATGCATATTTGTGGTCAATCAAATGTCCACCAAAGATGAAATACTTCTTATGGCAAGCTATTTCCAGTCGTTTACCGATTACAGACCATCTTCGAAACCAAGGAATAAACTGTGATCCTCAATGTAGCAGATGCAGGGCCGAACAGGAATCAATAAATCATACATTATTTGAATGTCCAACGGCTGCTCAAGTATGGTCTTTATCAAGCATTCCTAAACCATTACTTGGTTTCCCAACAGGGTTGTTTTTTGTAATATGGCACACTTATTCTGGCATTTATTGAACCACAAAGATATGAAGATATATTCATGGTTACTATGGTATATTTCGATAATGCGGAACGGTAATTTTTTTTTTGAATATCGATCGTGACCCACAAGAGATTGTAAGGCTAGCAATAGCAGAGTCTAATGGCTGGGAGGAAGCACAAGTGGATACTCTAGAGATAAATCCATTAATAGTTCAGGATACAATTGTCTCTAGATGGGGTTTGACATGTCAAACGCAGAATTGTGATAGTTCTATCAATGAAATGAGGTTGCAGAAACATTAATGGGTGCAAAGCATGTACGCCGGAGTATCTTACCTTTACATTCAGAACTAGAGGCTATGATTTAGGCAATTCATTGCATGCCTGATGCAAGGAGGTTGGAGGTAACTTTTCTCAGAGACTGTTCCGAGTCGGTGAAGATGGTATCAAACCCAACAAAGTGGCCAGCTTTCTCCTTATATTTGGAGGAATACGAGACCAGTAGAAGGAAGTTTGTTTTCTTCTCAATATCACAGATTTCACGCGCGCATAACACGAAGACGGACAAGTTAGCACGAGGTGCTCGGATATGCCTTCATTATCTTAATTATGTAAACTCAATTCCACCGGCTTGGTTTACTGAGGCGGTCTAGGAAATTGAGGCCGTTGACAAAAGAAAAATTGATTTTAATATTGTTTCATAGAATGTAATTGTATAGTTAGGTTAACCTGCAAAGAGTAGTCATTAAATATCAATTTTTTACAAAGAGTAAATTATTATAATTTAATTTTTAAATCCAAAATATACATAAGAATTATATAAAATCAGATTAATTATTATTAAGCTTAGTATTGTTAATACGCTATAAACTAACTGAGTTAATATTTATAAACTATTAAATTTTTGATATAATAAAAATATTTTTAATATCAAACATTTCAGTAAATTATTATATAATATCTTACTAAAAATATTTTTAACTTGTTAACCAAGTAATTTTGTTTGTATAAATTAAAAATTTATAATCTTTCACTTTATTAACAAAACTAAAATATTCATAATATTATATTCTCTCAACATATTTAAATTCTTTTTATATATTGACTTTTTGATATAATATACTTTTTTAATGAAATTTAAGTGTTTTTATTATTTGGTTAATTTATATGGTTCAATTAAAAACCATATTAAAACAAATACATTAATATAAATGTCAATTAAATCAAGCTTCCTACTTTTATTTTTTAGAATATATGTTTTTTATAATAATTTATGAACCATCTATTGATCTACATATCATGATTTCTAATGTAAGACTTTTAAAACTTAGTTTTATTTAGAAATTATTTGAGTAATTTATATTTATTTATAAAAATTTGATTTATAACACATGTATAAACAAAATTTTTTTTTTTACTATATGGATGATGTGATAATTTGTTTATTTTATAAAAATAAGTTTAAATAAAAATAAGAGAAAGTACATTTTTGGTAGAATTTTTATTTTTGACAGCACATTTTTGGTAGAAAATATTTTAGACAAATCCTTTTCTCTGCCATGCACTATTGCAGAATTCAAATTTGAGGACTGCTTATGCGATTTGGGGGCCAGCGTGAATGTTATCCCTCTAGCCACCACCAAGAAGATCTCCCACTCAAGGTCGGAGGTGTAATTATTCAGTCAGACTTGTTGGTCTTAGAAATGGACAATGATGTAAAAGACTATCCCATCTTGGGGAGACCCTTACTGGCCTCTGCTGGAGCGTTGCAACGTTCTA